AGTGGTTTTCTAAGTTTCCTGGTAATGTTCTCAGGCGGTCATGTGAAGTGTGAACCTTGAACAAAAACAGCTCTTTTAAGGAACACTGTAAAGTGGATACTTAAAAGGAACTCAGGGGGCCGGGGAGATGGCTCAGTGGAATAAGCACTTCCCTTGGAAGAGCAAGGGCCAGAGTTCAATCCCCGGTTCCGCCCAAATAAGTAAATAAATAAATAAAACTCAGATTTTTCAAGTTGCCTGAGGCTTTTTTATATAGTTGTATTCATTGATTTGGCCTCAGTATGAATAATCATGTCCTGAAATTTGTATCGTTCTTAGCACACACTCTGTAGGTGCTAACTCCCTGCCTATTATTGGCCTGTATGTTATCTTTTAAATTTGCAAAATAATCTTTTGTATTGAGTGTGTTTCTTAAAACAAACTTTGGATTGCAATTAACTTGTTCTGAGAGCATTCTGCAAGACAACCAACATTTCTAAGCCATTTTAACTCAATAAACAAGCAGTGTCTTGTAGTACAAGTAATATGTCACATTGAATATCATATGATCACAGTCCCCCCCTCCCACTTCAGTACACAAGTGCTTTGGATTACAAGTGGAGCAAATTATTCTGGAAACCAAGGTTTTACTGTAGGTCTTTATTTTTGCTTTTAAAAGTGAGGTAGCAATCATATAGTCCTGCTGATTTTCATCCTTTTGGATATTTTAGCTTTGATGAGTTAACTCATTGCCCGTAGTGCCTTCACGTCATGCCCAGGACTGCTGGGGTGGGGGTGTGGTGGTTGTTATTTTGAGATAGGGTATTTTCCATCTTTCCAAAATCAACTCAAAAATTGGTCAGTTCATTGTTATAGTCTTAAAAATTGGTCAGTTTGTTATATGTATTTAATTGCAAACTGAAAGTACTTAAAATGCTGTGAAATACAACACATTGTATACAGAAAAAACACAGAAAAAGATACATACCATAGTGAGTTATCATGGACCACCACCTAGGTCAGCAAAGAGGATATTACCAACACCCCTAGAAGACTTTTTTTCCCTTTCTAATCATAACCCTCCCCCACATACAGGTAAGAGCTAACTTGATTTTTATGTTGATCACTTCGTTTTCTTTGTTGTTGCCTACCCTAAGTGTGTATCTCTGTAGCTTTTGAGTCGGTTATTTTTTATCTTTATTTAAATGGAATCATATAGCATATGTTATTTTGTATCTTACTTCAGCCAGCCCTTTGGGTGTCAGACTTACCCTACTGTGTTTAATTGTAGCCCCCCTTTTTTAACTGTATGCTATTATGTATATAATAGACACAGCTTATCCACTCTGGTGTTGATGGATATGGGTTGCATTTTGGAGAAGTAGGAACTTGATGGACACACGTAGCAGGTCACAGGTTATGTATTTCAAGTTCAGCAGATAATGCCAGGCATTTTTCAGTGGTTACAGCATGTTAACAATACACAAAATGAGTTCCATTTGTCCCACCTCCTCCCTAGCACTTGTATTGTCCTATTTTGTGCTTTTAGCCATGACAGTGGTTTGTTTTTTAAATTTTCAGTTTGTAGTGACTTTAATGTGCATAATGTATATTATCTATTTGTATATTCTCTTGTGAAGGAAGGACCTATTGTTTATTTTTCTAATTTTGTTTTCTAAATGAAGTGTAATTCGTTGACCTTTCATCATAAGCCTTTGCTAATACCTTCCATTTCATCACTTTCTCCTCTCAAAGTGTCTTGATGGTCAGATAGTTTTATAAAATTAGACTGCACTGAAATCAAGACTAACAGTTCTTCTTGAGGTCATATAAATTTTTTTCATGAGGCTATGAAGATGTCATTCCTCTTTTCTAAAGGCTTTATTATATTGTCTTTCTTTCATATTTAGCTGTGCAGTCCAGCTGGAGATGGTGTCTGTATGTGGGGTGATGTGGAAGTCTCGTTTTAGGTATTTTTACATGGAGATCGACTCTTCCAGCATCTTCTGTTTTAAAAATGTCTTTCCCTGATACCCTGCAGTCCCCTTTTGTTATAAACCAAGAGTCTTTAGATGTTGGGCATGTGTCTAGGCACTCTGTTTTTACTATCTTTTACTATCATTATTTTGATGGATAATAGCTTTCTTTAAAAAAAAAAAAAAAAACTGGTAGAACCATCATCCTACTGTCTTCAATAGTGTTTTGTAACCTTGGCACATTCAGTTGTCATACGAATTAGAGCATCACCACCACAAAAATTATCTTGGAATTTGTATCACACTTGCATAGAATATAGTTTGATTCCTGGAGAATTAGCACTGCTGCAGTATTTTTTCCCACCTATGAACATGATTTGTCTTTCCGTTCACAGAAATCAGTCATTTCTAAAAGTATTTTATAGTTGTGTACATTACCATCTTATACATCTTTAATTAATACTTTAAAACATAATATGCTATTTAAAACTTTTGTCTTATTGCTTGTTATATAAAAACAACTTGATTTTGTTATTTTTCAACTTGTATTCAGTGATTGTGCTGAATCCAGTCACTGTAATAACTTTTCTATGGATTCCTGTAGATTTTCTAGTGTACAGTCACACTGTTGATGAATAATGATTGTTCAGTTTGTTGTTTTATAATCCTTAAGCTTTTTTCTTTTATATCTGATCTAGGATGTCCAGTTTACTGTTAAATAAAAGGAATAAAGTATTGGTAGTGATGATTTTTGGCATGAATGTCCCCCTACACACACCTTAAGGGGGAACACTTTTTACCACTAAGTACATTTGTTACAGAATTTTTGTAGATGCTTTAAAATTAAACATGTTCATTTCAATTCCTGTTTTTCTAAGAGTTGTGATATAGAATGGAACTTTATGAAATGTCTTGAATGCATGTGAAGTACTCATGATTTTTTAATTTTATTGACAGTGATGTTTACATTGAGTGAATATAATGTTAAACCATAGTACCATAGTAAATCTAATTTATTTTTGTATATTTGAATACTACCCAATTTCATTTATACTATTTAAGATTTTTATACTTGGTATGTAAGTACAATTCTCTGTAATAGTCCTTCCTTTGTACTTCATACATTGTGATAACTTGTTGAAAGACAGATTGGGGAGTAGTTTTATTATGTGAAAGAATTTGTGTATTATTTCTTGTTTGCCAGTGAAGTCAAGGCCTAGAGTTTTCTGAAAGTTTCTAGTTATGGATCCAGTTTCTTTAATATATTCAGATTTTAAATTTCTTCATTGGCAATAATTAGTTGGATTTTCATAGAAGTTTCTCCCTGATCTAATTGCTATAGCTAAAGTTTAAATTATTATATTGAATTAGTAATGATAGTGCACATTCATGTTTCATTTCCAGGGTTTTAAATTTTTTACTAGTTCTTTCAGAATGCTACATTTAGGCTCTCATACAGTTTTTCTAATGTTTGTTTTCTTATCTGTTAGCCCAAGTGTATCTTCCCAGTTCCTTCAGTATGGTTGTTCTAAGTCAGTCTGATAGCCATAATATCTGGTGTCATGAGGTTTTTTCCTGTTTTTAGTTTATTTTTATTGTCTTGTCTCCTTTTGTTCTTCGTTATTTTTATTTGAAAAATTACTTGCAAATATATTTTGAGGCCTAAAATGGCCTTATTTTCAAAGAGTACTCTTATTTTTCTATTATATTCTAAAGCACTAGAATCATGGATCCCTTTAATTCAATTTTAGAGATTCCATTTTTCTGAACCATTCATACCATTTAGAGCTAGGTTACAGGGTAGGCTGAGATGGTCTGTTTATCCTTCTGGCTAGAATGTTGACCTTGCAGATCGCAGTGTTAGAATGGAGATTTTTACCAGGCAACAACTCTCACCTTTTTGTTTTGTACTCTCTAAAGGACTGGATAAATAAGTATCACAGGCTTTGTGGACCATACAGTCTGTTACAATGAACTCTTTCTAAGAAGGCATCCATAACTAATGATGAATGTATTCTGGTAAAGCTTTATTTTCCAAAATGAGGACCAGACTAGATCTGGCTTTTGGGCCAGAGTGTGGCAACCCCAGCTATAGTTCGTTAGCAACTCTTCTCAGACTGTGCTACCACTTCTGGAATTCAGATCAACACTAAATGCTGGACTGACCTCTCCTCTAACCTGTTAGCTCTCCAGTTTCTTCAAATGTGTTTTTGTTTTTAGTTAAATAGTTCTTAGCAGGGGATTTAATCTGAAAAACCTAATCTGCTGTTACCAGAATCTAAGAATTCAAATTTTCTTGGGGAAAAAAAATGCACCTATTACTCTGTGATGTATGACTTTTTCAACAAAACAAGTTTGGGGACACGTTTCTACAATCTTTCTATGCAGATTGTGTATTCCAAGTTTAGCCATAAAGCAGTCATCTGTTACAGTTTCCTGTCATGAGGGGAATGGTCTTTGTCTGCAACATTGACTGTGGTAGCCACTAGTTAACCATGGTTGTTGGGCACTTAAAAAGGGCTACTGTGACTATAGAACTAAAATTTTAAATATTATTATTTTTATTTTTTTTTTATTTTGTTTTTATGTTTTTGGGAGGGTACTGGGGATTGAACTCCAGGACCTTGCACTTGCCAGGCTGGCACTTAGGCCACTGAGCTGTATTTCTGGCCAATTTAATTTAAATTGGCTTTAAGTTAAATAGTTGCATGTGACTGTTTAACTCAGCATGGGAGCAGTTTAAAGGAAGAGTTTCATCTTGGCATACAATGTCTTCTTATACTTCCACCCACTGAAGCATCCATTTTCCAGGCTAGTACAACAGTTCCTTTAAACTAAATGTGTTGAATGAATGTCTCACTGATATCCTAGACCTCACAGAATGTTTCCATTTATTCATTCATGTGGTATGAGACAGTACATGTGTTATCCTAAATGGACAACATAAAACTGATGGGAGTCAAGTTTACTAATATGCTTTTTTCTCTACAGGGAAAGGGTCGTATCCGTCGAGGAAACCATCCAAGTCCATCCTCTCCTGTTGTAGTACATTTGCCTTCCATGTCTGATGTCCCAGAAGAGACCTTGGGTACTGAGGCAGCCATGGAGACTGACGTCACAGAACAGCAGCAAGCAGCCATGCAACAGGAAGAAAGAGTTCTGACTGAGCAGATTGAGAACCTACAGAAAGAGAAGTAAGTGTGTGGGGACACAGGACAGGACAAGACAGGACAGGACAGGACAGGACAGAGACTTGTTTCATTTCCTGCTTTCTAGCCTTTCCTCATTGTCCTTGATAAATATCTCCTAGTATTTTATCTTTTTTAGTGGTTTGTTCCCTTGCTCTGCTCTCTCGTACTAAAGACTAGATCCACAGCTTTACACATGCTGAGCAAGCACTGTACATGGAACAACATGTCTGTCTTTTTAAAAAAAATTTGACACAAGGTCTTGCCAAATTGCCCAGGCTGGGCTGAAATTTACAGTCCTTCTACTTCATCCTCCCTTGTAGCTGGGATTACAGATATACACTACCATACACAGCTTTGTGATTGTTTTATTATTTATTCATTTGATTTTAGGTTTTTTGAGACAGGGTCTTGCTTTGTAGTGCGTGCTGCCCTTGAACTCCCTTAAGCAGCCTAGGCTGGCCTCAAATTTACAGTGAACCTGCTGGGGAGATAACTTGGTGGTCTAAGCACCTACTTGGCAAGCACAATGACCCAGATTTGATGAGTGGTATCACATGCTGTGCCAGCCCAACCTGGGTGTGCTGAGCTGGCCATTGAAACCTGGCATGGTGGTGCACACCTGCATCAGAGCACTGGGGAGACTGAGACAGGAGGATCGTGGTGAGTCCAAGCTGTATAGCAGAGACCCTGTACCCAATAAATAAATATGATTTTTTTAGTTTAAAAAAAAAAAAAAAGTGATCTTCCTGTCAATTGCCAGAATGCTGGGATTACGGGTGTTTGCCATCATACTCAATGTTGTGATTGTTTTTTGTTTGTTGGCTGGTTTGCTTTTGTCTTCATCTTGAGACAAGGTCTCACTGTGTAGTTGAGGCTGGCCTGGAACTCAGCCTCAAACTCGGTGATCCTCTTGCCTCAGTCTCTCAAGTGCTAAGATTATAGGCATGCACCACTATGCCTGGCTGTGGTTGTTTAAAAATCTTTGATTGACTACTGTGTAAATGCTCAAAAACCACATTACTTTTAACTAGGGCCGGCCAGATCAGCGGATGAAAGCACCTACTTAGGCAGAAGCAGGGGTCAGAGTTTTGATCGCCAGCCTGCTGTTCCAGCCCCACCCCCAGGGCACACCGAGATGGCATTTGAGACTAGACGAGGTGGCACATGCTTATAATCCTAGCACTTGGGAGGCTGAAAACAGGAAAATCACCACAAGTCTGATCTACAAAGTGAGACCATATACACCCGGTAGACCCTGCCCTAAATTCATTTTTTTTTTAAATTGCCTTTACCTTTTATCAAAAAGGAGGATATCTGTTCAAATTTTGTCAACATTACACCTTTGGCCCCCTTCCTGAAGAATGATAAAGATTAAGTTTATACCACTCAAGCAGTCACATAAAATTATAACAATAACTTGTACACTGTATTCATATAATCAGCCATTGAAATTATGATTTTATCTGTTCTTTGAAGATATTTTGGTCTCTTTATATATAACAAAACTCATTCATTCAAAAAACATTTCATGGTTATTGATTTATTTACTTTTTTTTTTGCAAAACCAAGGATAGAACTCAGGACCTTGCACTTGCC